GATTGCACAGTGGTGGCAGTGCGAGTGACCGACTGTTGGTCCGATATTCAAAGCGCGGCGCTTATGTGACTTTTCAAATTTTCTTAGAGGTGTCCTTCGTACTAACAACATGGCGCTTGAATTCTCATAAGTTGAAGAATTTCTTCCAAAAGGATCTTGAGCGTTGGTGCTGTCTTCTTTGCAAACACAACTGCAGGCGCATGTTGTTAATACGTTTGCATAGAAATGTCAACAATGCCCATATTTGGTCATATATCAATATTCATACGCAACCAGATTTTGCAACCGGTTCCAGTTTGGTCTGTCAACAAACGATACTTGTTATGTATTTGCACTTAAATATATATTTAACGTGGGTAATAAATAAAATACCACACTCATTCTCGTTAGATACCATTTTTACGAAACTCGTGAACTTTCTATGGTATCTGACCGAGCGAAAGCGAGGTCAGATACCATAGAAAGTCCACTCGTTTCGTAAAAATGGTATCTAACGAGAATGAGTGTAGTATTCTCTATTTAATACGTTTACATCTTTGAAAGCCAGAGCATGTGATACCAGGCCAAGATTTGTTTTGGTTTGTTGTTTAACGCCGCACTGTAAACTGTAAATAATCGAGTCTGGACCAGACAATCCAGTGATTAATATCATGAGCATGTCTGGGTTTTACATCTGATTGTTTGTAGGTTACATCTATTTCTAAGGTTATAATTGCTTTTAATAGATGCAATACTTTGAGTGAGGTAGTTGAGATATTCGGGTGAAAAACCGTTTTACATTTTTCTTAAATTTAATCAATTTAAAGGGGTGTCTTCTTTCTTTTTAAGAAATGAAAATGCGTTTCGTTAAAATGTTTGGCATGTCTGTGCCCAACAATAAGATCTCAATGCGTCCAAATGTAAATTCTCGAGGAACAGTGATTGTTCGTCTTACAGTTGTCCCAAATATGACAGCAGTAGTCGAAGTCAGGCAGGATACAACTTGTTTACATAATCTCAAGTGTATTTCTTGTTAGACTGTACTTAATACTCATCAAGCAGTTGATCACTGGACTAACATTTCTAACAAGAAATTGTTGACTTTTATTTTCCATGAACAATCACGTTGAAGTGTAATTCCTTAATGTTTATGACTTTGTACTTCACCAAGAGTACCCTCCATGTATAAATTTGGTCTAAAACCAGAATGGACTTCGCGACTGAATGTTATAGTTTTGATCCTATCGATAAAAGGTTCAACATCAAACATGTATAAATGTACAACTGTCTACTATATTTCAAAGGCTTTCAAAACGTTTTGTTAGGGTCAAATAAACATGAACAGATTCTGTTTGTCTGATATTTGCTTCTGATGACAAGAGTTATATTTCCTAAAAACACGGCTTTATTATGACCTTTTAATTAAAATAAAGTATTTGATCTTATGTCCGTATGCCGTTGAAATAGATAATGAAGATTATCTTCGTAATACTGATCACAACTCCAAGTAGGATCAATACCAATAAGACGATCACATGTATGTCCATTTAGGTCTCTACAGTGGGTCTCATTCTACAGTGTATGATTGGTATTTTATTGAACTATAACAATGAAAAAAAGGATTATACATTGCTAATAATATATTTTACATAATTCTTTATTAATTGTATAATTATTGATTCAGTTCATCCTAAATTATCATCCAACATATTCAATCATGACACATATGGACATAATCGGGGCGAACCGGGATTTGAACCCACAATCAGAGGTTTCTGGCGTGCCCAAGGGACGCAACTCTGCACAGCGAATCGCGGCGCCTTAGACGACTGGGCCAGCCGTGCGCCCTGGTTCAAGGACGACCTTGGAGTGACCCAAGCTTGCAAACACTTTTTTTCAAATAACTTTCGAACCATATCAAAAGGCCACCTTTGATGCCGTGAGCATTGATACATATGAATGATACCTTTATGCCATACTCTTTCTAAGATGGTTGGTTGGTTTGTTGTTTAACGCCGCACTCAGCAATATTCTAGCTATATGGCGGCGGTTTGTAAATAATCGAGTCTGGACCAGACAATCCCCTTATTAATATCATGAGCATCGATCCACGCGATTGGGATCGATGAAATGCATCAACCAGATAGCAAGCCTGACCACCCGATCCCGTAAGTCGCCTCTCACGACAAGCATAGTCGCCTGTTACGGCAGGCATGGGATGCTGAAGACCTATTCTACCCCGGAATCTTCACGGGTCTACTCTATCAAATTATTTGTATGCTTATATCGCAACAAAACAGCCCTTCTCACTCGTAATACATGTACGAGAGTTGATGTGATGTTGAGTCACCTGGCAGGAATCACAGGAACCTGTTATTGGTCAGTAAATAAAAATATATAGCCCCTATATGTAAATGCTCTACTTATATATATTTTTATTTACTGACCAATAACAAGTTCCTGTGGCATGAATCCCGATCATAAATTACTCAGCAGGTCATTTTCCCCGAAGACGTTGAACACATGTTTGAATAAAGTCTTTTTCTGAACGTTTTGCTGAGCTCAATGTGAGTACTCCGCACCCTTTGCGCATTCCCCACTATGGATAAACAAACGGGACAATCGGAAAAGTTGGTCGTATTCATTTTGTTGAATGGATTCAACCGCAAATAAAAATTATTCGTCACCACTCGCCCCTTTCCGTAACCTGCAAGATGATCGGCTTGTCCCGGAGTAACACGAGTTGGTCACGAATGAAGTAAAAATATCCAACGCACAACACCGATCACGTGACAAGTTATTACGGGTCGTTAGCTTCACGATGTCAGCCGACACGCGTCACGACCTGCACTGATATGAAACTATCCTATGTGAGAAAGGTTCTTATTTATAAAATTGGTGACTATACTAAGTTAAATGAATCAACTGATTGGATACGCTTGTATAATAGCTGTCTAATAAAGTCTATTGATGTAATATGTGATATTTTCTGCACACATTTAAGCACTATATAAGCATATTCATACCAAACCGTGCTGTTACAATAACAATGAAAATAATTTGAAGACAGCTCCCAAGGAAAACTTTTATCTAAACTTGAAGTATTATCTACACAAATCAAAGAAAACAGTTCTAATTATTGAAACTTCTGCGTCACTAGATTGAGGAGTCTGGAGCCAGCACCGTGAACCAACCTCACTGACGATTTATTCGACGTCAGTTTCCAATGTTGATAATGAAGGCGCCTCGCTATCACAATTTGTTAAACTATGAGATCATGACTTGATTATACCCTTACAGAAAATCAAGAAATAACAGATCTCATGAAGCAAGTTATATAAAAAGTTGTATAAAAAGCAAGCGGCCCCGACAACCTGAACCAGAGATTACTGATAAATATATCACAATCCATAGCCAATCCCTTACGCATGTTATTCCACTAATCTCTTAAACAAAGCACATCCCCATCACAGTGGGAACTAGCTAATGTACTGCCTTTGTACAAAAATAGAGATAAATACCAACCTTCCAACTACAGGCCTATTTCACTGTTATCTTGTCTTGGAAAATTATTTGAAAGACTTATTTAAAGAAGAATGAAAATTTACTGTATGGAGAATAAACTACTTTCCAATTGTAGTAAATATCAGCTAATTGAAGTCAATCTTCACATTTACACTTCGCCTGATGATCATAAATATTGTTGTATGATATTCTGAGTATTTCTAAGGCATTCAACAGGCTAGGGCACAAAGGTCTATTGCATAAACTTCAACAATATGGTATAACTGGTAAATTATTAGCTTGGTGTCGTAGTTATCCGTCAGCTCGTTGAAAGAGTATTTCTAATGGTAGTTACCAAGTAAAACATTCACCAAAGCATGGGTCCTACAGGGCTCTGTTTTGGGGCCGTTCCTATTTCTAGTTTACATAAATGATATTACCGACCAGCTTCAAAATATGTACAGGCACTTCAACTACTAATGTGGTTTTAATTGAAGAAAGACTAAATCAAGACCCTCTCCCCCTTCATCAGCACATGGCTTGTAAATTTTAAACCGACTGAGACAAAATCTATGCTTTTTAGTCACAAACAGGTACAGGATTATCCAACTCTTTGTTATGCTAACAGTGCCTTTGAACATGTAGAAACTCAAAAACAACTGGGGGTGACTTTGTCCCAAGATATGAAATGGACTGCACATGTTTCAATTGGGATACGACGACATTCACCAACCAAGTCAGCGGGCCTGACTACCCGATCCCGTTAGTCGCGGTGTGAATAGACACAGCAGACAAAACTATTCTATCTGCATGACATCTAACTATACCCACAAGCATAACATTCCTAAACAATACGATCGCACCCCTGGCTCGGGCGGTATAACTGAAGAGATCCTTGATCTGGGCCAGCAACATTTGAGTTGTGTGTAAACAGGGTTTGATTTTCTGACTCTTGGCAGTTGTGAATGAGGGCGTGGTCTGCTGGACTGACCCGGGGTACAACTTTAACTGACAGTGCCAACTTAGTTACAATTCACAATTGTGGCCACTTGGTCCCTAACGACCCTGACATTCGTGTCTACCTGGAAAGACAGGATATATGGTGTTTGGCATACCCACAGTCTGTCATAGTTGTATCAACTTCCTCCATGTGTAAGTCGATATTTGTGGCCGACAGAGAATGGCGTTAACCCGTTCACTGCTAGACACCGAGGAGCGTCGCCTCGGTTAAACGGTATGGCGCAACAGAGCCCATTGTACGTCCACTCACACTGTCACACGGGCAAGAATATCAGTGGAAAGAATAAAATATGAACTATAGGTTCATGACGCGTGATATATGCTTGTGGGATTCAACTCGACTTTATACCTGTATCTGTGAGATGCAGAGGGTTAACCCAACAGGCTGCCGCGTAATTCGACAATAAGCTGACATGCCAACTCAAGCTCACTGTCAACTGTTGTCTCATACACTCGCCCAGTGTCAACACCCACTAGCATATAGTAGATATACTCACGGGTTTTGCGGATTGGTCCTGCCAGGTCGTTGTTTAACATTGTGCATGCTATGACAGCTGTAGACTCCTCACCGGAACATGGCCTGGGCACCCCGACACGCGTTGTCAGGTGAAGGAGTAGACTTGACACAAGTCTCCTTTTGGGCACCAGGTATATAAATCATCCAGGCAGAGAATAGATTGGCACACAGGTGGCCGGACGAGGTGTTTTCAGATCACGTCTGAACAGACACCGTCTGGCATGTGGGATAAGTTCAGACATGTAAATCACGATAGGGCTGAAATATTGCCGATGTTACTCTAAAGATTTACTCGCTCGGACATGTTGAAAACGTTTAACATAGATAGTGAAAAGTCATTCTCTGTATTGTTCCACATTGACGTGTGATTACCTTTGAACTGTCAACATATTCGATCCCCACATCACTTCTCGTTCAAAATAAGAAAACTTTGCTTTGTCCTCTCATCTCATGGATGCACTGTCAAAATCAGCTATGCCAGGATCCACTGCGCCAGGATCCGCTGCCCCAGGATCCGCTACGCCTAGATCCGCTGTGTCAGAAGCTGTTGTCAGGATCCGCTGTGTCAGGATTCGCTACGCCTGGATCCGCTGTGTCAGAATCTGCTGTCAGGATCCGCTGTATCAGGATTCGCTGCCCCAGGATCTACCGTGCCATGATCCGCTGCACCAGGATCCGCTGTGTCAGAATCTGCTGTGCCATGATCCACTGGCTCTGGATCCGCTGTTTCAGGATCCGCTGTGCCAGGATCCGCTGCGCCAGGATCCGCTGTGTCAGAATCTGCTGTGCCATGATCCGCTGGCTCTGGATCCGCTGTTTCAGGATCCGCTGTCAGAATCTGCCGTGCCATGATCCGCTGGCTCTGGATCCGCTGTGTCAGGATTCGCTGCGCCAGGATCTACCATGCCATGATCCGCTGCACCAGGATCCGCTGTGTCAGAATCTGCTGTGCCATGATCCGCTGGCTCTGGATCCGCTGTTTCAGGATCCGCTGTCAGAATCTGCCGTGCCATGATCCGCTGGCTCTGGAGCCGCTGTGCCAGGATTCGCTGCGCCAGGATCCGCTGTGTCAGAATCTGCCGTGCCATGATCCGCTGGCTCTGGATCCGCTGTGTCAGGATTCGCTGCGCCAGGATCCGCTGTGCAAGGAACCGCAGGTCGTTGATCTATTTATTTATAAATAAGATATACTATTTTCACCCATTGACACGAATTTCAGACTTTTTCCCATAACAATGTTTCGTCAGTCAGGATAATACCCACCCAAGTAGTTAGCGTCTGAAACCTACCTCACTTTCGACATTCTCCCCAATAAAGATGACAAACTGTGGTACCAGTGCAGCACTGCAGTGTGCGGTGTTAGACGTTACTCCCACACTCTAACACCGACCAGTGTATGGAGCATGCAGTCCCCTGTACCCCATGCTTGTCCCCCCGTGGGACATTCGTAGTAGATCCAGCCTTGTTTAAACCCCTTAATTTTGTTGTCGTTGGTTGTTTAGCGCCGCACTCAGCAATATTCCAGCTATATGACGGCGGTCTGTAAATAGTCTCGACCGGACAATCCAGTGATTGACATCATAAACATCGATCCAGGCAATTTGGATACGATGACATCCATCAACCAAGTCAGCGAGACTGACCACCCGATCCCGTTAGTCACCTCTTACGTCAAGCATAGTCGCCTTTTACGGCAAGCATGGTATGCTGAAGACCTATTCTACCTCGGATCTTCACGGGTGAGCCCCTTTATGCCGAGCGCCAGGCAGGGTAACAGCAAGTACCATCTTTTAACGTATTTTGGTATGACGCGGCCGGGGATAGAACCGGGCGGACGCGCCACCACTAGACCACATGGGCGGTCTTTACTTAACAATGGCTTATTGGGAGTATAATGTAATGGTTGTGAGACTTAAAATGCTAAACGTGTTGGTACACCTCCTGTCCCTGGAAGACGTCTACATGGTGACTAGCAGCCGTAACAAGTGTTTAATCCTTGCCCGATGATTTAAACGCTTTTTGATATGTCTGAATTCCAAATTTGTTTGGAATTGTTTTAGAAAGAAGACATTTGATATTGTCAACGTAAAATTATGCAATTTTCAGATAATCAAGTGCATTTAATGCCCAAATGCTTGGACGACATTATTAAATAAGAACATGCGATTGATCACTTAAATGTTATCACACAACCATCGACATTTCTCTTCTGACTTATGCTTGATTTCATTGTACTGTGATTAAATCTCCTCGAGACTGCATGCGTTTGCTACAACGATTAAGACAGTGGGTCTGATGTAGACGTACGTGCCTTCTACCGACGCGAGGGGGACGGTGTAACTAAGGAATGACACAATTAACAATATTCCCCAGTTTTCATAAACTTGTTGAGATTGTGGTATGCTGAGATGCAGCCAATATAGCTGGTGCACTAGGAACACTTTGAACACCGAGAATCATCGCTTTCCAGAAGAGCATATTCGGTGACATATATACAGCCAATAAACAATAATTCACAAGGCACGGGTGGCCCAGTCGTCTAGGGCGCCACGATTCGCTGTGCAGAGTTGCATCAGAAACCTAAGATTGTGGGTTCGAGTCCCGGTTCGCCCCGATTATGTTTCTAGCACCATACCCGTGCTCGTGGGTTTCACCGAGGTGGTAAACGTCCGAGACCTGCATTGCTTCGGGCTTTCCTCCACATTAAGATGACACGCCATGATATAACTGGAATAATGTTAAAGGCGGGATAAAACCCAACTCACTCACTCACTCGTCCTTGGACCACGGTTGTTTATTGTTGATATAAACGATATTGTCAAGGGTATTGAGAGTAACATACGCCTCTTTGGATACGATACGTCCATACATGTATGTGTCATGATCAAATATGTTGGATGATAATTTAGGATCAACCGAATAAATAATTATACAATTTACAAAGAATTATGTAAAATATATTATTAGCAATGTATACATCCTTTTTTTCATTGTTATATACTGAACAACAAAAGTTCCTTTGACATTGAATAAGATTTAATGCAAAGTTATGTTTTTTTCCAAATCTGAAACAATTTCGGTTTGCAACAGATAATAGATTCCTGTAAGCGTTCAAATGGTTGAATTTGCCATACTGACTTCAGAAAATGCGTGATTTCATAAAAACAATGTCCATTTACAAATCAATAGCGTGTGTGTCCACCTTTGGTTGCGATGAAAGCAAGACATCTTCGTCTCATGGAATTGACCAGGCGGTCCAGGCATGGCCGTCCAGCGTAGACGCTGTCTGCACCACTGTATACGTGCTTGACGGTGGTTTCCTGTCAAAATGGGACGTCTGGCGGGTCTTCTGGCGACAATCCCTGCACATCTGAGGCAACGACGTACGGTTTGTGAAGATATTCGTCGAAGGGCAGGGATGATTCTTGCAGTCACTGTTGCTGGCTGGAATCGATTTCGTAGGTGTGTTGTTCGAATCCAGCTGTCTTGTCGATTATTGGTTACGCGTGGCCTGCCACTCTGAGGATGGTCTCTGACTGCATTCGTCTGTTGTCAACGTTGCCATAAACACCAAATGGTGTTTCCGTGGACGTTAAATTGTCTTGCAACATCATGTTGACTCGATCCTGCTTCAAGCATATCAATGGCTCGCAGACGCTCATTTTAGGACAGGCGTGGCATTTCGTAATGTTGAATAATTGCGTAATTTTGTTGTTTTTCTGAATGGTTGTTGTCGGCACGATGCTAAACAATGCATATGGAATCCTGTTAACGCACATGTTTTTATACCCATTCTTGGGTAATGAAATGCATGGAGCTTGCATAAAAGTCAACTTGTAGATGGAATGCATGCTTTTCTGTAGCAGTTGCGTTTTTGTGACTTGATTCCATACATGTACTACACTATTGAAAACCAAACTTTACTTGTTTGAAAAATACACTATTATATTGGTGTCACAGGAACTTTTGTTGTTGAGTATTGTACAAGAAGACACCAATCATACACTGTAGAATGAGACCCACTGTAAATGAACATACATGTGATCGTCTTATTGGTATTGATCCTACTTGGAGTTGTGATCAGTATTACGAAGATAATCTTCATTATCTATTTCAACGGCATACGGACATAAGATCAAATACTTTATTTTAATTAAAAGGTCATAATAAAGCCGTGTTTTTAGGAAATATAACATGTTTATTTTACCCCAACAAAACGTTTTGAAAGCCTTTAAAAACCTTGAACAAAATCATCATATGACTTGCAGAGCTTGGATACAGTTGACAACTGGGGAGTTTTCCTGCAGCAGTATCCGCACACCAAACACTGTCCTTCCTGCAGCAGTATCCGCACACCAAACACTGTCCTTCCTGCAGCTGTATCCGCACACCAAACACTGTCCTTCCTGCAGCAGTATCCGCACACCAAACACTGTCCTTCCTGCAGCTGTATCCGCACACCAAACACTGTCCTTCCTGCAGCAGTATCCGCACACCAAACACTGTCCTTCCTGCAGCAGTATCCCCACACCAAACACTGTCCTTCCTGCAGCTGTATCCGCACACCAAACACTGTCCTTCCTGCAGCAGTATCCGCACACCAAACACTGTCCTTCCTGCAGCAGTATCCGCACACCAAACACTGTCCTTCCTGCAGCAGTATCCGCACACCAAACACTGTCCTTCCTGCAGCTGTATCCGCACACCAAACACTGTCCTTCCTGCAGCTGTATCCGCACACCAAACACTGTCCTTCCTGCAGCAGTATCCGCATACAAAACACTGTCCTTCCTGCAGCTGTATCCGCACACCAAACACTGTCCTTCCTGCAGCAGTATCCGCACACCAAACACTGTCCTTCCTGCAGCTGTATCCGCATACAAAACACTGTCCTTCCTGCAGCTGTATCCGCACACCAAACACTGTCCTTCCTGCAGCTGTATCCGCACACCAAACACTGTCCTTCCTGCAGCAGTATCCGCATACAAAACACTGTCCTTCCTGCAGCTGTATCCGCACACCAAACACTGTCCTTCCTGCAGTAGTATCCGCACACCAAACACTGTCCTTCCTGCAGCTGTATCCGCACACCAAACACTGTCCTTCCTGCAGCTGTATCCGCACACCAAACACTGTCCTTCCTGCAGCAGTATCCGCACATCAAACACTGTCCTTCCTGCAGCTGTATCCGCACACCAAACACTGTCCTTCCTGCAGCAGTATCCGCACATCAAACACTGTCCTTCCTGCAGCAGTATCCGCACACCAAACACTGTTCTTCCTGCAGCAGTATCCGCACACCAAACACTGTCCTTCCTGCAGCAGTATCCGCACACCAAACACTGTCCTTCCTGCAGCTGTATCCGCACACCAAACACTGTCCTTCCTGCAGCAGTATCCGCATACAAAACACTGTCCTTCCTGCAGCTGTATCCGCACACCAAACACTGTCCTTCCTGCAGCCGCATACCAAACACTGTCCTTCCTGCAGCAGTATCCGCACACCAAACACTGTCCTTCCTGCAGCAGTATCCGCACACCAAACACTGTCCTTCCTGCAGCTGTATCCGCACACCAAACACTGTCCTTCCTGCAGCAGTATCCGCACATCAAACACTGTCCTTCCTGCAGCTGTATCCGCACACCAAACACTGTCCTTCCTGCAGCTGTATCCGCACACCAAACACTGTCCTTCCTGCAGCAGTATCCGCACACCAAACACTGTCCTTCCTGCAGCAGTATCGGCACACCAAACACTGTCCTTCCTGCAGTGGAGAGAAGCCGTTAGAATGTCTTGTATTTACTTACCTTTCCCGGGCCTGAAGAATATTAAGCTGTAGATATTAAGTATCAGTATTTTGCAGTAAATATGGAAATTTTCTGAAATGAAACTATGAAAAAAATAACACAGTTTATTCCCCTCAGGGTTAGAAATAACCGAGTCCCCCAACATTCGTATGTATACTAATGCAAATATCACGTCACGCGCCTCAGTGCATGGTTAACGTCATCCGGGCGACATTGTTAACGACATTCGAATCTTATTATGACGTAAGGTCGGACAAACGCCTCACAAGAAACGACGTCATAGCTGAAGACGCGAGTCCCAAAGCAGTGGGTAATAAGGACATTATTACACTCCCATGTATGTCATACTGATTTCTCGAAACTCGTGCAAGAATTCATGTATTACCCTCGCTCTCGCTCGGGAAATACAAGAATTCTGCGATCCGTTCGTATAATCAGTATGACACACTACAAGCGTCATGCTCGTGTAATACTCTCTATATCGCATATGTAAAGTATTAACCATTCCTACAAGTATTCAATCTTATAAACTGATATATTCATTTTTCCACACATATTCATCAATATCAAGGCACGTATACCGATTACAGAGCGCCAGGCATATCGATAGATACATGTATTAGTGAGTTGGGTTTAACCCGCTGGATGCCGACTTTTTTTCTGACGCACATTTTCCTAAGATCTGAAAAGTGAACGATGTACGAAAATTGCGCTCACCCGACACTGGATCTACCTCCGGCTATAAAATTATGCAGATATGTAGAATATTAAATTTCATATCTGATGTTGTAAATTTAACTGCAAATATTAAACCGGTTTTGAAAAAAGACACTGCTAAGAGTTGTCCAAGAATGTATTCTGCGTTGAAAAGCAGCAAATTTTAGGGCTGCAACGATACACCTAGGTCACGATACGATATGTATCTCGATACTTACATCACGATTCGATACGTATCTCGATACGCTACGATACACATAGTGACAAGAGAAGACAAGAGATAAATGAATTAAACTTAGTTTATAAAAATGAAAAATTAAATGAAAGTGATGAATGTTCATGAGTCATAAAATATATACTGTAATGAGTATTTTAACTTAATGAATCATCTGCCATTTCCATGTAATGGCTAGCAAACACAGAAGTAACAGTCCTACATATTTGTGAGTCGTGACTAGATGGTAGATTCTAGGAGTAAATACTAAATGTACCAGTGTCCAGTAACTAATGATTTGCCATTTTCGTTTATAAAGGCAAAAAAAACAATTAAAAACAATTATAGCAACAGCCATGTTATACACATTTTGAAAGGTCTAATCCTAGTGTTTATAAATATGAAAGTTATGTTTATCACATTATTTAAATAATGCATTTACAACTTAATTAAGTTCGTTGTAAATAAAAAAAATGTAAGCTAACACATTCATAACGTCCAGATTAAAGACCAAGGAAGCGAAAATTTGACGATTTGGGGCAAATTTAAGATTTAAAAAAAATCTACTTATTTCTTCTTTTTTTTCATTGTATACGTAATTGGAAAATTATTTTAAAAAGAATTATGAATAGAATCTGTTTTCACTCATTTCCAGATAACAGCGGCTGTCCGCTCAGTAACATGGAGAAATACCTCCGTTTTCGAAAGCTTCGTATGAATAACACGTTTGTCGAAAACTGACATATGACACATCGCTAGAAAGCTTGTTTTTTCACCTTCACGCTCGTAACATTGCCTTTGTCTTTTTCGTAGCTATAACATAAGATTTCATTGGATAAAATGGTTTCTAATGACGCTTTCTTGCCGAAATCTGCTACAAGGTTCATGATTGGTCAAATTTGAGCACGTGACCTGAGACAGGCAATCAAATTACAAATCCTCGTGTACGATGAATTTCAGATTTTTACGAAATATTTTGGTTAAATCGTGTTATTCTGAACGTTTAAAGCAGGAAATCGCGATCTATGTTAAAAATATGGAGCTTCGTGGATGTTTCATGCTAGGTAACAAGCTGTGACAAAGATCTTTCATGCATATATTTTGGCATTGAACATCGTGTCCGAGCCGAGAATTCGATGCGACGAAAGCCGAGATGTCATTTGACTAACATCACACGCGATCGCACGAAAAGATGGAAATAATAACTTAGCTGTAAGTTTGACCACTTTTAGATATATTTTTGTTGATTTTATTTATCACTTTGTATATATATTTAAAGATTTGCTTGAAACGTCTTTGTTTTGCTCTTTGACATGTTCGATGTGCATCCGAGAATTATATTTTCAATAACATTGCGGGAAATAGTGAATAACTTTTTAATCTATCGATAAAAAAATGATTCATTTTGATAAATTGAAATAGAATACGTATTTCAGACATTGTGAGATGTGACAGATTTAATAAATGAATGGTATGACAGGTAGGTCCATAAAAATATATACTATTTTGACGTGACTAATGCTTCTTGGCCGGTCTACCGGCCTACGGTGTTGAAAAGCGTTAAAACACATTTAAAACGTATCTTTGATAAAAGTTTATTTACAAAAAAAGACGTACGTAATCCGTCTTTGAAAAGACGTATCGTGAAAAATCGAGATACAGCACCTCACAAATCGCACACCGTATCGTATGGAGTGAATCGCGATGCATCGGTGTCCCGGGATATCGTTTCAGCCCTAGCAAATTTCGCCGCTTTTATCGTACACCGATAAAAGTACTGTGCGACAATTTTTTGTTTGCAGCTTTACGGAAGCTGTGAGCGAACAAAACTCTGCCTTATTTCTGGAGGACAAAGATATATATATAAAATGGATTTATATGCTTATGTACAACGTTATACATTCAATGCATAAAATAGCGTCGATGTCCACCACGTTCCGTGACAGCACAAACTTCACCGTTTCCACATCTCCTCCCATACAGGCCCAGTGAAGGGTGATGTCACCGTCACCGTCCACCAGTGACACATCAGCACCTATACTCACCAGGAGCTCCACCACTTCTCTGTGGCCCCCGTCTGCTGCCGCCATCACCGGTGTCGTGCTCCATCTTCCCCATCTATAGTTGACGTTGACGTTCAGAGACAGGAGCCGCTTCACCTTCTCCAGGTTTCCCTTCCCGCTGGCGTCATGGAGGTCGCCGCGGTCTGCTGGTGATGGAGTCGCTGTAACACATCCGGACATCTTCGTCATACATCTACATCTACATTGTTCACACCTCAAAGCAATACGTCATCAAACACTTCCAACATGGCTGACAATACAACGATTAGGGGGAATGACGACAGCTGGTTCATGTAATCAAGGACTGTGTATTCAATGTTTAAAATCTTTCTGTTACATCCAGTAGTTGTAACATTTTTCTGTGTATGGCTGGAGAGTGTTAACGTTTGATGGACTGAGCTTTATAAGATGATACTGTCAGTACAGTTGCTGTTTGGAAATGTGAGGATAATAAGATATTACATTGGTTTATGTCAGTCTGTTTTGTTGTTGTTTTACGCCGCACTCAGCAGTTGTCCAGCAATAAGATGGCGGAGTCTAATACAGACAGTCCAGTGGCTGACAAACATGAGCACCGATCTACACAACTGGAATACGATGACGTGCAAGAAGCAAGTCAAAACCCCCACGGGTCTATACTGATTTCACGAAACTCGTACAAGGATGTATGTATTGCCCTCGCTCTCGCTCGGGAGATGCAAGAATTCTGCGATCCGTTTCGTATAATCACTATGACACACTACAAACGTCATGCTCTTATAATACTCTCTATATCGCATATGTAAAGTATTAACCATTCCTATAAGTATTCAATCTTATAAACTTTTATATTCTTTCCATACATATCCATCAATATCAAGGCAGATATACCGATGACAGAGCGCCAGGCACATCCATAGATACATGCATGAGTGAGTTGGGTTTAACACCGCTTTCAACAGTATCCCAGTAATATCACGGTGTGTCAGCTTAATGTGGGCGCAGATACAAAGACTGACGGGAAGACAGACATACAGATAATTTACCTCAGGAGAGCTTTTTTCGAATCTCTTTATTTAGAAATTCATCAACTCTTCGTGATGCATCTAGAAGTTCTGAATCACTTCCACAGAAACCAAAGTTCAACAAATCACTCTTACTTAAATAAAAAATCGGATTCTCTACTTCTTCAAAAGAAAAATCACCATTAACAAGTTTCACTTAATCTTTCGAATGTTTCGTTCACAATGACAAATGCACGTGCATCGCCAGCACTTCCAAACAGATTAACCGCCAACAGTTAAGTCCGACCATTGTTGTGTTTGCGCGCTCTGTTCCTGTCTTTTCCATGTTTGAAGAGCCAACCTCCAACAGTCAACACCGCACTTTATATGGCGACTATTTCTTAAGTTGGATATGATCCTCAAAGTCACGATTAGTTTTGCCTCGGACGAACCCCACGTGGCAAACTAATTGTGACTTTGGGGACCATATCCTACACATAGCGATGATACCGGGTGTTCGCGAAAAGGTGAGAGTATTCTGCCCCACCAGTGGCACCCGTCACAAACACATGCTAAGGCAAGTCAACTGTTCACCTGAAAAAACACGGGAACATATGGTACAAGTCAAAATACATATGATACAGTTACAAGTTATACATATACATGTACACTGGAAATGTATTCACTACAAAGACGTATACGACCTTCGACCTTCGCGAGCGAGTTGAATGGTCCAGGTCCATTTGGAACGAAATGTAGAACAGGTGTTTAAGTTTCAGAATTTGGTAAAATACATGTAGGTTTGTTAAATATGATTATAAAACGAAAATTCAAAATGTCTTCGGAAATAAAATCATGCTTGAGGAGTAGAGCTGACTTGATGGGAAATGTGACGTAAGCAAGCTGAGACTGAGCATGTCGACACAAATTGCACCGATTACATCATACACAGAGCCTCTTTGTTCAAGCAGGAATATACAGGACATACTAAGTAACACTTCTCTGTGTGCTAATCACATGTTTGGATGGTATCAGCTCTGTGTTCTGAGATAAAGGGATGTAAGTACCTACCACAATTAAAAATACATGATGATAACAAAGTGAAAAAAATATACTCTCTGCTGGAATGTATATGATGCTTATTATACGATAGGGTGAGAATCTTAAAATGTAAGACTAGACGATAAAACTATTCATACATGTAGACATGTTCATTGTTCACAGTGGATTAGGTAATTGAACACCCTTCAGTTTCATATTCCACAGGTGTCTGTTTCATTCAGTAAGTTTTTGGACGCACTGATCTTTGTCCTGGTCAGGTGACACTGATGGAACGTTTGAAACACATATTTTACATCCACTGTTGCCGCGAGTCCAATGTCTACCTCGAACATTTCTACAGTCAACATCATCTAAAATGAACACATCTTTGTCGAGTTGTTATCCGTTCTGCGTCCTTACTTCAGCATCACCAAAACATCACTCAATAAGAAAGACGCATGCATTGGTATATTGTGTGAAACCCACACTTTGAGTCCTTCACGTGTTGAAAAAGCCGAAAACCAGTACAAACTGATTTCTGTCGCCTCTCCCCAGAGGATGATTTCTCGATATTGTCGTTTGATAACCGACTTCAATTTGGGAGAGACAATGTGCCAATACTTCCTTCATTGTACGGGTAGACGACCCAGTTTGGTGCTGGACTTGTAGTGTCTAATTTGTGTGATGATACGTCCGCGTATAGGTACTGGTGACTGGAGATTTGTCATCACTATAAATTAAATCAGTTGTTGAAAATACGAACGAGCACACAATGTATCGCACACGCCTGATGTCCAACTGTATCAATGGTGGCCCCATGTAGATAGGAGTTGATGCAGGCGAGTGATTCACAACTGCAGAAATGATGACATTTATTAATATTTGTGCGACGCATACCTTTAACTGTAACCAGCTCAGTTTCACAGCTGAAGCAAGGGCGAGCAAAGCCCATCAATCAATGCATGAGTACTGACCTTACAACATCTGAAGCTCCGACCCGTCCCTGCCTTTTGTCTTGATAACATCACAACAACACAGTTTAAACACACTGGTGGATCTGGTACTTTAGTCACTCTCAAGGAGTCGAAAAGTAGAGTTGCTTACTCAGCAAGTGGTGGAGTTTTATCTGTCAGATATTTAACCATCGGCGCAATACTGCATACACCCAAGGTTAGTATGTGATGTGTACTGTAACCTCGTACGTGGGTATTTGTATGTGTGTATGGGTATTTGTAGGTGTGTATGGGTATTTGTATGTGTGTATGGGTATTTGTATGTGTGTATGGGTATTTGTAGGTGCGTATCTGTTGTTTCCTTGTGTGTTGATGAACATGTGGTACCATGTAATTTTTTTTTTATATTTATTGAACAGGTCCGAGCAGGACTGTGTAGCCGGGTGGTGGTGCTAACTCTGAATGAGTTATAGCTACATAAGTGCCACCCACTTATAACCCCCTAGCATTCATTCTATACATATATACATTTTCATCTATTATCACCATCACTTCATTCTGTGTTCATTATATGTTGTCCTTGTCTGCAGTTTAATGTCAGCCAACTAACATCAACCTAGATACCCTTTTGCAGCCTCTGTGATTTCTCCAGCTTCGCCTGGACTTCCCCCTATCTATTTTTAGATATGACCACCACTTCATGTTACTGTGAAGCATCTTGACTTCCTTTAATACCTGTCAGATGCTACCTTTCTTCTGACTGGCCCTTTGGTCCACTTCTTTATTGAGGGAGAACTCTTCTTGCCAGGTGAGAAACATTTCAATATTCTTATCTCTTTCCATCCTGCTTTGGAAACAGATATATTCATAGAAAGGGTATCACAGCTTTTCATAAAAGTAAAATATATTTAATTGCATTATTATTTAATTTGTTATATCTAGATATTTGCCAGTTCACACATTTTGTGTTACATTAATTGAGCACATGGTCTTCAACCACGTGCTACCCCACTTATCCATATAAATTAATATTTTTCCTTTTTGGCTTAAATTAAATTATAATATTCTGCATGAACTCTTTATGGAGGGAGGACTCTTCTTTCCAGCTTCCCTCCCACCATCTACTTGACAGTAATAAACATCATCATCATCCAAGAACTGCCTCATGTTTTGACTAGCAGCCCAGTGGCTGGACAACAACATACCACGCCCGGCTACACGAGTGACTGAAAACCCAGGCCCACACACCTAGTAGGAGTTTCCTATTATTTGTCTTCTTTACGGATAAATGATTTCGGACTTCGGTAAAAATGACTATTCTTTATTTCAACGTTATGTCAGAGAACCGATGCCCAACTGCAGCATTCAACACTATGTAGTTTCACATTATTTCAGACAGCTGATGTCCAACTGCAGCATTAAACACTATGTAGTTTCACATTATTTCAGACAGCTGATGTCCAACTGCAGCATTCAACACTATGTAGTTTCACATTATTTCAGACAGCTGATGTCCAACTGCAGCATTCAACACTATGTAGTTTCACATTATTTCAGACAGCTGATGCCCATATGCGACAGCAGTATATCTTTCCTTAACACCAGGATTTAGATTTGTCCATGCCCACTTCAGACCACGTTCCCACAAGACAACAAATATGTGATGTAATATATAACTAAATTAGGCCCAGTGAGCGGACACTTGCAGAACGATGGCGAGTAGTGTCCACTTTAATCCTAGCATCTTGCTTGACGCTCTGAGTTTGCTGTTGTGGATGCTTACTTTAAAATAAAAACACGATTTGAGCTCGTATGAATTGTAAGTTATGAGTATATTGAGTTTAGAAGATGCTCGGTGTTTCTAAAAGTGTCACTATATAAAAGTCTTAGCTATTCTGTCCTTAAAAGCGCGATGAAGTGTATTGATGTCCAACATCCCCTATGCTTTGGGTGAAGATCATGTGCCGTTATGCTTTGTATGAAGATCGTGTTCCATCATGTTTGTGGTTGAAGATCATGTGCCTCTATGCGTTCTGTGATTATGCCATGCTGCTGCGCTAATGTGTACCAAAAGTTTTGAATGTCACATGCACAGCTATTGGCCACAACTGCAAGTTTTACATGAAGATCATCACTGCAT